AACAGTCAGGGGTTCTACAGTCAGAGGTTCTTCAGTCAGAGGTTCTTCAGCCAGGGGTTCAACAGTCAGGGGTTCTACAGTCAGAGTTTCAACAGTCAGAGGTTCTACAGTCAGTGGTTCAATAGTCAGTGGTGCTACAGACAGAGGTTCAAGAGTCAGGGGTTCTTCAGTCAGGGGTTCTACACTCTGAAGTTCTACAGTCAGAAGTTCCTCAGTCAGGGGTTCAACAGTTGGAGGCACTACAGTCACAGGTTCTTCAGTCAGGGGTTCAACAGTCAGGGGTTCAACAGTCAGAGGTTCAACAGTCAGAGGTTCAACAGTCAGGGGTTCAACAGTCAGAGGTTCAATAGTCAGAGGTTCTTAAGTCAGGGGTTCAACAGTCAGAGGTTCAACAGTCAGAGGTTCAACTCTTAGAGGTTCCACAGTCAGGGGTTCCACAGTCAGAGGTTCAACAGTCAGAGGTTCAACAGTCAGAGGTTCCACAGTCAGGGGTTCCAGAGTCAGGGGTTCAACAGTCAGGTGTTCAACAGTCAGGTGTTCAACAGTCAGAGGTTCTTCAGTCAGGGCTTCTACAGTCAGGGCTTCTACAGTCAGGGGTTCAACAGTCAGAGGTTCAACAGTAGGAGGTTCTACACTCAGAGGTTCTTCAGTCAGAGGTTCTACAGTCAGAGGTTCTTCAGTCAGGGGTTCTACAGTCAGAGATTCTTTAGTCAGGGGTTCAAGAGTCAGATGTTTTTCAGTCAGGGATTCTACAGTCAGGGGTTCAACAGTCAGAGGTTCAACAGTAGGAGGTTCTACAGTCAGATGTTCTACAGTCAGAGGTTTAACAGTCAGGTGTTCTACAGTCAGGGGTTCAACAGTCAGGGGTTCAACAGTCAGAGTTTCAACAGTCAGAGGTTCAACACTCTGAGGTTCTTCAGTCAGAGGTTCTACAGTCAGAGGTTTTTCAGTCAGGGGTTCTACAGTCAGGGCTTCTACAGTCAGGGGTTCAACAGTCAGAGGTTCAACAGTAAGAGGTCCTACAGTCAGAGGTTCTACAGTCAGATGCTCTACAGTCAGGGGTTCAACAGTCAGAGGTTCTATAGTCAGAGGTTCAACAGTCAGATGTTCAGCAGTCAGAGTTTCTACAGTCAGAGGTTCTACAGTCACATGTTCTACAGTCATAGGTTCTTCAGTCAGGGGTTCCACAGTCAGGGGTTCAACACTCAGAGGTTCAACACTCAGAGGTTCCACAGTCAGGGGTTCCACAGTCAGGGGTTCTACAGTCAGAGGTTCAAGAGTCAGGGGTTCTACAGTCAGAGGTTCCTCAGTCAGGGGTTCAACAGTCGAAGGTTCTACAGTCACAGGTTCTTAAGTCAGGGGTTCAAAAGTCAGGGGTTCAACAGTCAGGGGTTCAACAGTCAGAGGTTCTACAGTCAGAGGTTCTTCAGTCAGGAGTTCAACAGTCAGTGGTTCTTCAGTCAGAGGTTCTTGAGTCAGGGGTTCAACAGTCAGAGGTTCTTCAGTCAGAGGTTCTTCAGCCAGGGGTTCAACAGTCAGGGGTTCTACAGTCAGAGTTTCAACACTCAGAGATTCTACAGTCAGTGGTTCAACAGTCAGTGGTGCTACAGTCAAAGGTTCAAGAGTGAGGGGTTCTTCAGTCAGGGGTTCTACACTCCGAAGTTCTACAGTCAGAGGTTCCTCAGTCAGGGGTTCAACAGTTGGAGGCTCTACAGTCACAGGTTCTTCAGTCAGGGGTTCAACAGTCAGAGGTTCAACAGTCAGAGGTTCTTCAGTCAGGGGTTCTGCAGTCAGGGGTTCAACAGTCAGAGGTTCAACAGTCAGAGGTTCTTCAGTCAGGGGTTCAACAGTCAGAGGTTCAACAGTCAGAGGTTCCACAGTCAGGGGTTCCACAGTCAGGGGTTCAACAGTCAGAGATTCAACAGTCACAGGTTCAACAGTCAGAGGTTCCACAGTCAGGGGTTCCACAGTCAGGGGTTCCACAGTCAGGGGTTCAACAGTCAGGGGTTACAGTCAGACGTTCTTCAGTCAGGGATTCTGCAGTCAGGGCTTCTACAGTCAGGGGTTCAACAGTCAGAGGTTCAACAGTAGGAGGTTCTACAGCCAGAGGTTCTACAGTCAGAGGTTCAAAAGTCAGAGGTTCTACAGCCAGGGGTTCAACAGTCAGGGGTTCAACAGTCAGAGTTTCAACAGTCAGAGGTTCAACACTCTGAGGTTCAACACTCTGAGGTTCTTCAGTCAGAGGTTCTACAGTCAGAGGTTCTACAGTCAGAGGTTCTTTAGTCAGGGGTTCTACAGTCAGAGATTCTTCAGTCAGGGGTTCAACAGTCAGAGGTCCTTCAGTCAGGGATTCTACAGTCAGGGCTTCTACAGTCAGGGGCTCAACAGTCAGAGGTTCAACAGTAGGAGGTTCTACAGTCAGAGGTTCTACAGTCAGAGGTTCAACAGTCAGAGGTTCTACAATCAGGGGTTCAACAGTCAGAGGTTCTACAATCACAGGTTCTACAGTCATAGGTTCTTCAGTCAAGGGTTCTACAGTCAGGGGTTCTTCGGTCAGGGGTTCAACAGTCAGAGGTTCTTCAGTCAAGGGTTCTACAGTCAGGGGTTCTTCAGTCAGGGGTTCTACAGTCAGGGGTTCGAAAGTCAGGGGTTCAACAGTCAGAGGTTCAACAGTAGGAGGTTCTACAGTCAGAGGTTCTACAGTCAGAGGTTCAACAGTCAGAGGTTCTACAGTCAGGGGTTCAACAGTCAGAGGTTCTACAGTCACAGGTTCTACAGTCATAGGTTCTTCAGTCAGGGGTTCTTCAGTCAGGGGTTCTACCGTCAGGAGTTTGAAAGTCAGGGGTTCAACAGTCAGAGGTTCTTCAGTCAGGGGTTCTTCAGTCAGGGGTTCTAAAGTCAGAGGTTCAACAGTCAGAGGTTCTACAGTCAGGGGTTCAACAGTCAGAGGTTCTTCAGTCAAGGGTTCAACAGTCAGGGGTTCTGCAGTCAGAGGTTCTACAGTCAGAGGTTCTACAGTCAGAGGTTCAGCAGTCAGAGGTTCAACAGTCAGTGGTTCTACAGTCAGGGGTTCTTCAGTCAGAGGTTCTACAGTCAGAGGTTCAACAGTCAGAGGTTCTACAGTCAGGGGTTCAACAGTCAGAGGTTCTACAGTCAGAGGTTCAACAGTCAGGCGTTCGAAAGTCAGGGGTTCAACAGTCAGAGGTTCAACAGTCAGAGGTTCTTCAGTCAGGGGTTCAACAGTCAGAGGTTCAACAGTCAGAGGTTCAACAGTCAGGGGTTTTATAGTCAGGGGTTCAAAATTCAGGGGTTATACAGTCAGAGGTTCTACAGTCAGAGGTTCTTCAGTCAGAGGTTCAACAGTCAGAGGTTATACAGTCAGAGGTTCAACAGTCAGAGGTTCAACAGTCAGAGGTTCAACAGTCAGTGGTTCTTCAGTCAGGGGTTCTACACTCCGAAGTTCTACAGTCAGAGGTTCAACAGTCGGAGTTTCAACAGTCAGAGGTTCAACAGTCAGAGGTTCAACAGTCAGGGTTTCAACAGTCAGAGATTCTACAGTCACAGGTTCTTCAGTCAGGGGTTCAACAGTCAGAGGTTCAACAGTCAGGGGTTCAACAGTCAGAGGTTCAACATTCAGGGGTTTTACAGTCAGGGGTTCAAAATTCAGGGGTTCTACAGTCAGAGGTTCTACAGTCAGAGGTTCTTGAGTCAGGGGTTCAACAGTCAGAGGTTCAACAGTCAGAGGTTCTTCAGTCAGAGTTTCTTCAGTCATAGGTTCTTCAGTCAGGGGCTCAACAGTCAGGGTTTCTTCAGTCAGGGGTTCTACACTCCGAGCTTCTACAGTCAGAGGTTCTTCAGTCAGAGGTTCTTCAGTCAGGGGTTCAACAGTCAGAGGTTCTTCAGTAAAGGGTTCTGCAGTCAGGGGTTCTACAGTCAGAGGTTTTACAGTCAGAGGTTCTACAGTCAGGGGTTCTACAGTCAGAGGTTCTACAGTCAGGGGTTCTACAGTCAGGGGTTCTACAGTCAGGGGTTCTACAGTCAGAGGTTCTACAGTCAGGGGTTCTACAGTCAGAGTTTCTACAGTCAGAGGTTCTTCAGTCAGAGTTTCTTCAGTCAGAGGTTCTACAGTCAGTGGTTCTACAGTCAGAGGTTCTACAGTCAGAGGTTTTTCAGTCAGGGGTTCTACAGTCAGAGGTTCTACAGTCAGAGGTTCTACAGTCAGAGTTTCTTCAGTCAGGGGTTTTACAGTCAGAGGTTCTACAGTCAGAGGTTCTACAGTCAGAGGTTCTTCAGTCAGGGGTTCTTCAGTCAGAGGTTCTTCAGTCAGAGTTTCTACAGTCAGTGGTTCTACAGTCAGAGGTTCTACAGTCAGAGGTTTTTCAGTCAGAGGTTCTACAGTCAGAGGTTCTACAGTCAGAGGTTCTTCAGTCAGGGGTTTTACAGTCAGAGGTTCTACAGTCAGAGGTTCTTCAGTCAGGGGTTCTACAGTCAGAGGTTCCACAGTCATGAGACCAGAGAGCCCAGCTCTTCACAACATGAAGCTCAGTAACAGAAGTAATAAAAGGTCACCTCAGTTTGTTCAGCTTTAATAAATCCAGAAGACTGAGAGACAAGCTGGCACCTCAGAGATGAGTGTCTGTGTGTGTGTGTGTGTGTGTGTGTGTGTGTGTGTGTGTGTGTGTGTGTGTG